CTACTACAAACTATTCATTCTCTTGCAAAAAGAGAATGTTGAACCATTCAATTTATTCTAATAATAATTTCACGAAGCAAGCCTAATCCCGAAGAGTGCGAATAATTCCTAAATTTCCATATCATCTTGACTTCATTATGAAAAGTTTAGTGTCCAAAACTTGATTACCTTAAAGTCTAGTGAAAAATCAAAGATGTCTGTCTAATCATGATGAGCAAATAAAGGCGCATGTCAAAATATAATGAGCAATCAAAAATGTCTTTCTCCATGATTGAGCATCAATTTCGAGATGGACGTTAGCTGTGCAATTCGTCTACCACGTTGCTATCCCATCATAGTTGTGAAACAAAAGTCATCGTCGTGACTACCGTCTGACATTTGAAAAGTTTAATGGTCAAAACTCTACATTTGAAATCGTAGTGAGCAATCAAAGATACCAACCTAAGTTAGTGATTATTAGGATAATTAATTCAAGAATTCGGTGTATAACTATAGTTAAAGATCACGTGTCAATATAGGGAGATTTTCGATAGCAACGGGGGAGACTACTTATCTTGTCAGAGATTTTCAGGATGCGGTATGGGGATAAAAATATTTCTTTCTACCACACGTTTAACTAATTAATTATTTAAATATTTATATACATTTTAAATATAAAAATAAAATAAAGAAAGGATCGGGGCACAGGTTTGGGGAATTCGTGATGGAGTACATGATTTTTCATTTCTGCCCTGATTACCTAGCACGATAGGGATTGTTCCGTTTGGTATATGCAATTTGGGATATTTAGTCCTCCTTACGTAAGACACACACATCAAGTTAAGGGTATTGGACCATGTTCTTGTTGATTTTACAGCCCATGACAAATTGAAATTTGATAAGCGAAATTAAGCACAATAATATAATTGTCATAAAATTTGATATATGTTATAAATATAGTAGTATTTATGAATGACTTTTATATCTCTGTAATCCTAGTCATTATGACTATTGTATACTTTGTAACTCTAATTTTTATTTTATTTTATTTTATAAATATGGAGATTTGGTTCTTAATAAAAAGACACAAATTTATTAACTCCTATTTTTTGTTCTATCTGTTTCTCTCTAGTTTATAACATATCATCAACACGATTCCCTCAAAATTAAAGTGCATTAGTTACAAAGTAATAATTTTATAAGTATAATAATTTGTCATATGTACCGAAAATTAATTTAGTAGCACGTGAATATAATAATCATTAGCGCATTCGATTCTGTAGGCACGCTAAAATTTTTCCACTGCTATTGTATTGCTGGTCAAAGAGAATAAGGATTCATAATGATTTTGTTTTACTAATTGTATTGATGAATCATGATTATTGTTCATATCTTGTCTACATCCATATCCTATTTGTATGAATTAATCCTTTGTTTGTGTGAATTTCAAGATTGTATTGCAGAGTGCATATCCCACAAATTATATAATTTATTATAATAATATTTGATTAATACTAAAGAGTATGAATTATAATATTCAATATTTTAAAAGATTTTCGACGCATTTCTCTTGAAGAACCAATAATAAAATACAAAATGCTCTCGGAGTTTCACATATTTCGAAAAGTATATCATTTTGAATTAGTGTTTATCTATGAAGGAAAACATATAATTAATGTCATGTCCATTGATTAGTTTGAACATTTAATTGATTTTTATATGATTAAATAATATTTAATCACGTTCTTCGAAATTAACTGTATTTTATTTATTATGAAGTTACTCAAATGGCAAACATCACTATTCGAGATGAAATTGTCAAGATATCTGTTTAGTTGATAGTGCAAATTTGCATACTATTTTTCAAGACAAAATTTGTTTTTGTCATTTAACATTAGTATAAAATAATGTTAATAACGATATCATGTGCTTCAAATATCGTTAAAATCTCTAGAAGAACTTGTATTATATTATCAAATAATATAAAATTATATATTAACAATGTACTTTATTCTAGCAAATTTAGAAGAAATTTGTTTAACTTTAAGATATTCCCCACAATAAATATCACATTGAGATGTTGCAAGAGAAATAATATAGAGTATCTTTCCATTTATTTTTTAGTTGGCCAAAAGCTATTAAAAGAAAAATTACTGGTATTCCACATTCATAAAATTGACATTATCGTGAACCCCAAGTTTGTTGATCCTATAGTAACTTTATATACTCTGGAAGAATTGTATTATTATTTTGGAATCAACAATACAAAAATTCGTAGAATGTCTACAACCTGCAGAAATTCACTACTCATTTTGATTCAAATCCAAAGATTCCTATCAAAATTCAACAGTTCATTAATTTGTGAGAAATAGCCATGTCAACAGTAGGAAATTTATAAGTACAATAATTTTTTGAAATTTTTTATCTTTGAAAAATATGAGATTTGTCAACTATTTAACACTTTCTAAACCTTTCAAATTTAGGTAAATATAGTGTTTAAAAGTCTTTCTTTCAATTATATATTATATTTGTGAATTTTAAAATTAGTCAAATATTTTAATTACACTTGTTCTTCTAAAAAAGTACAACTAGAAATTATATTTGTACTAAATGAATATGGTGTTGATATTCTAGAAGAAACGTGACCAATCATATATAAATGTTCCAAAAAACATTATGTGCTCTTGAAGAGCATGACATTACAATTTCAATATTCTAGAAGAATATGATAAATTGCTCCAGAAGAAGCAAAAATAATACATATTATCATTCTTGAAGAATATCCTACTGTGTTCCTCAAGAAACACAAATTTATTTATACATAATAATAACTTAGAAAAATATTATGATTAATTTAAATGTATTAATATTCCTTAAAAATATTGTTTTATTAATTTTGAGTAATCATAATCAAGTATATAACAATATTCAAGAAGAATTTTGTTTTAATACTATAAAAGGCCAATACTCCGTTGAGTTGAAGAATAATATTTTGCTGTTAATAGTAATTTATTCTCTACTAAATTAAAGAGAAACATAATAAGTTTTTAAAATGTGCGGTACAATTCAAACAAATACTATATTGAACCATAAGTTCAATTTGATTTTATTATCTGGCATGATTAGTTGACTATTACTGGATTAATAATGATGCAAAATCAAATATTCAAATGGACATTCAACGAAGAACTTGAGGATTCTTTAATCCAATAAATTATTATATGTTATTTGTTCCCTTTATCAAAAATTGATTATCAAACATCATTAGCTAAAATAGGAACTGAATTTCCTATAATTCTAAAAATTAATTAGGGTGATAAGTGGAGCCCCATCATCCTCCACGTTAACCATCTAGATATTATTTATAGCTAATAGATTTTGATACATATATTAGATGATTGTATAGTGTTTGCAACCTAAAGTTTGCGAAATTATTGCTCAAATTTTAAATTATGAGCATAATTTTTTAGATTATACAATCAAGACGATGTGTCTTGTTAATGCTAATGATTCAAAATCTCAACATTTTAATAAGTATTAGTTGAGATAAATGTTGAGATGTCGATAAACGGTTTAATATTGTTACTTGTTAAATGTCTCTAATTAATTTAATTGAGAATAAAGTACTTCCCAATTTTGTTTAAGGAATGCTACTATGCATCATGCTAACACTAGGTTCTCCATATTATAATTGGCTTATATTAAAGCTTGAATTCTTTATCAAATTATTTGATAGTGCAATATATGTACAATTAATCAACCAACATTGCACTGTAAATAAAGAATGCTGAGAATAAATATGTGGTTTGAACTCACAAAAGTTAATTCGGACAAGTAGTTACAGTGCCAAAAAAATTTGAGTTGGTTGGTCAAATTTTTAATATGGTATTATGAGGTAAGAAAAACAATTCAACATTCTTTAAGCCTTCAAGATAGGGAATTTGTCCATGACAAAATTTTATCATTTATTCTCTGGTCGAACCAACGAACAAATTTAAAAGTAAACAGTCCTCCATACTTTCTTGTATGCTCAATAATTACAACTTAGATTTCTCAAGTTCACATGATATGACCCAAAATGCAAGAGTCACGATGGCAAGTTCGAGCCGAGACCCATTGATTATTGAAGAAGGCTCGATGACGTAACCGAGAGCGAAACGAGTTAAAGAGGTGATGGGGATGCTCGTCAAAACCACAATTATGACGCCATATTCGGGATGCAAAATGGAGCAAGTTTTATGTTGGGGTCGAAGGCCGAGGAGACTTGAATCAACATGATAAAGGTGGACAAAAAAGAGGCTGTCGGACAAAGCCATGCGACTGCACAACTTAGTGGTGCTTGCGGTCGCACAGACCTTTGTAGAGAATTATTAGGGTAAAATTTTTAATTCCATGCGGCCGCATGGTACAATTTTTTGACGCATTTTTTTAATTTTTGAGAATTTCCATATTTGTTTAGAATTCCATATCTACATGACTTTTACTATAATTAAAAGATCATGCACCATTTTTACCTAGGTTTAGGAGGCTAGTATAAATACTTTACATCTTATTGTATTAAGAACTTTTGACAATTTGATAATTGAGAGGTTATCACTTTCTTCCATTGTTCTTCTTTGAACAACTAATTGAAAATTATCAACGATTAAATCTTTGTGGATTTCAACATCGGATCGTGGGTTTTTCAACTTGTAAACAAGTGGTTCATCGTATCTTAGTTATCTTTGGATTTCTTGTTTCACTTTGTCGGGTTGAAATCCAAAATCGGGTTATCAATTGGCATTCTGGGGTTCCGCATCAATCTCGTTGTGG